TTCCCATGGCTCTGTTTCTGTACTCTGTTCTATTCCATTGATCTTTGTGGCTATGCTGAAATTCAAGATTGTGTTGAGCTGTTTGTCAATTAGAATTGTCTCAACAACATTATATCTTTCTGTTTATTTGGGTCTTCTTTGATTTCTTAAACCAGAGTTTTCCAGTTTTTGGTATACTGTAAACTTATATTTATACATAATAAATACTTCTCTTTTGCTGCTATTATAAATAGTCCTGTTTGGTTTTAATTTTTAATCCCTGTTGTTTATTGCTAATATTATAGAAATATTTTTGATATTTTTTTGAGCATAAACCCTGGAACTAGGCAGAGCAGGCCACTTATTTACTGTGTCATGATTGGCACCTTGATTAACTTGTCTTATGCGAACATATGAGTATTTTGTAAGGTTGTGTACAGGTTCCGTGACACAAGGAATTGAATGCTGCTAACAGGACACTTGATATTTAATGGTGGCTCAACACATGGTGGCATTAAAATGAACAAACTTTGAATGAACATAGGGAAAGTATGATCAGGTACAAGTTCCCAATGATGAATGTAACTGTATTTTATACCAAAAATGTACCAATGAACTTAATGGGGAAAAAAAAAGATTAAAGAGAAACTATGTCCTCAATTATATTCTTTGCTACCCCCTCCACTTGCTTCTCCTGAACACTTATGGAACACATTGTGAAAACATTTGTTTCACCTGTTTGCCTAGATTTAAAAGAAATTATGGAGCAGTCTGTTCTCCACATCATTTTCACAAATGTTTCGTGTCAGAGGCAGGGGTGTGCACACATTTGCTTCTGACCCCAATGCACAGATCTCTTGCAGATTAAACTGTCTGTTGAAAGAGGTTTAAAGAAATTCATAGTGAGGAAGAAGTGTTTTGCTTAACAGTTTTAAAGTTTCCTATGGGCTTTCCTGAGTCATCAACCGACTATTCCGCCTGCTCAATTTTATTATTAATTTTTTTATGAATCCTGATAACAGCAGAGTCAAAATTGTGCTACATGTTTTGATTTCTTTCCTCCCATTGCAGAATTTTCTAGTTTTGCCCACATTTTGGCAGTTGCTCTCACTCTCCATGCAACGGGGAGAAACATTCTTTTAAAAATATTTCCAACCCCCTCACATTCACATGAAATTGTTTGAATTCTAACTTTGTTTCAGTTCTTACATAAGATCCATTGCTATCTAATATTAGATCATTGTATTATACGTGACTTTCTACAACATAGTGGGGGCATGAAAGATCTTTGCTTTGTTTCTTTTCTAAAGACAAAATTTAAAAAGTACTTTGTCATATGAATAATCAGTTCCAATTTAAATTATTTTTAGATTTTTTAATTAAAATTTTGTTATTTTGAGAAGAAATGTGTTGTATTTGCCCATATAGGTAAATATGAGTGTATATATGGTGTATGCAATTGTATGCAGTTATATTACATGTGATTTAGTGATGTGATAATCTGATCGAAGCTTAAATGTAGTAAACTGAAACAAAAACTCCAAGTTGCTCTCACCGTCTTTTAGATATGAATTGAGAGAATAGCTGAGGTATCTAGCAATGAGAATTAAGTGGAAAAGACATACACCCGAGCTGATGTCCTCTCAGCCTCCGCGATCTGAAGATATGCTGTCTTGACACTGAACATGGATGACTAATTTGAACCAAAAAATGTGAAACAATCTTTGTAACTAATTTTACTGAGTAAGTATCAAATATTCATTTTGAAATGTGGTCTGAAAGAGGATATGTGGGCTTGAAGTTAGATTAAGAGTGAGATAATGGCCATGGTGGAGTGGATTTGACTGTTTTTCTTTTTTGGTTTTTTTTTTGGTTTGTTTTGTTTTTATTTTTCATCAGTGAAGGAGACAGGTGGAGATAGTAAGAGGAAGGCAGTGGTGAGAAGGAGAGGACTCTGGTCCATCTTCCCTTTTTTGGGTGTGTTGGACATAGCTGGCATGCCTCAGAAGGTGAGATTTACCTGCAAACCCCAGGCTGGGATTTACACACTCAAAGCCACTGGACTCTGCACCTGGACTAAGCTTCCTTGCTCCGTGGAAATACATAATTGCTTAACCCAGTTAAGCCGAATACAGCAAACTTTCTAAAAATGTGAGTTTCTCACTCACAAAGTTCTAGTCTATAGCATTTTATTTCAACCTGGCTTGGCAGCATTTTCAACATGTCTGCTCCAATTGAAAATGTTTCAGCTTTCCACTTTCCGTGTGGAGAGGCTGGGTGAGAGTGGGAGGGGAGAGGCAGAAGGAAACAAAAAGAGAAAGTTTGCTTTAAAATCTTGGCGAAGATAAATAAAGAAAAGTCAACTCATGTTTAGAGCTACACTCTACCGTTAGCAGTGAAAGATTGAGGAGTGTGGAACAGAAAGCTGGTCCTCACCTCAAGCCTTCAGAAATCTCCCATCTTCTTCAAATCCTAAAGGTGTGAAGACCACAAATGCAGGAATGAGAAAATGCCCCAGCGTGTTAATTTCAGGAAGGCCTGAAGCTCTGGTAAGGTCTGGACAGGAAGTACATCTTCATCTACACATATGCAAGCAAGCAAAATAAAACTACAGTGATATTCTCGAGAAATTTTGAAAAGTGTTGAACAGGCCAGAAATAGTAAAAAAAAAGAAAAGAAAAGAAAGAAATGTACCTGTAAATAATTTTTTTCATTTTACATATAAATAACCTAAGGTTTGGAAAGGTTAAGACACCAAATCAACCTAACTACTAAATGAGTTAAATGGCAGTTAAATTGTCTCTCTTTAATGAATTGTCTTTATTGGTCTGTTCAAGTGGAAACAAGAATCTTCACAAGGGTTTCTACAGACATGCAGTTGACTGTGGTTCTTTCCTTCCTATTTTCTGCATGAGCCTTAACATTCCCATCTTGTAGCTTTTTCTTCTACAGAGAATCCCAGCCACTTCAGACGAGGCAACTGAAATTTCAAGAAACTGGTGAGTGCTTAAGATAATGTAATTTACAGAAAATGTCCCAAAGCCCAAACCTCAGTTGTCTGTGTACTTGTTTGTTTCTCTTCTGTGTGCCTCATATATAACTGGGACTGATTTATAGAAATACATACATTATGTGGAAAATTAGGAACCTTATGAATGAATCTGTGTATGTGCTTAATACTACCTATTGTAACTCAGCTTATATTTTTGTTTCTTTTTGTGCTTTCCCCTGCATCTATAATGGATGGTTTTGAACTTTAAGAAAGATGCTCCAGGGGAGACTATGACAAGCTTAAGGATATCTTGAAACTTTGTACAAAAGCCCCTTTGGCATCTCATCCAGCCTTGAGTTTCTCTCCTAACAGGCCAATCTTTCATTGCCTATTAGGTAAAAAGAAAAATGAATACATTTAGCCTTAATAGCACTCCTTTTCAACTAGAATATTTCTGCCATTTCTCTTCTTCTTTTTGTTTCCCCATCAGAATAAAACATTCATTCATTTATACAGAAATACATATTGAGTGCATTTTATTTGCAAGGCACTGGAGGACAGGTTGACAATGATGCAGTGAAGGAAGTTGCACCTATAGGAACTTAAGATAGCTCTGACATAGTGAGTTGTGTTTGTCTGGCTTGAGTCCTACTTTAAATAATAATTAGGGTGAAAGCTCTGATAGTCATTCTGGGAATGCTAAGACTGAAAACGTAGTGGATCCCCTCCAGAGATGGGCAAAAGAAAAATATGTATCATAGAAATATAAATGGGCTCCTGTTATTCTAAAGGCAAATACCAGGAAAGGTCAACACCAGAGTTAAAATCAGACAAAGAATAAAGAAATATCAAATAAGCAAGAGAATAGAGTCCAAGAACTAATCTGTTCAAGCTGGGGACACGAGTGACCAAAAGATATGTGACTGTAAGTAGGGAGATATTAGCATCACAGCCTCTGAAAGATTCCACACTCTCTGTGACCAACAGTAATCAGTGTAGACCTCACGTATGAGTTATTATGATGTTCCAGACCCCACAGCTGATGGGACTGGCTTTTATGGTGGGAAGAACTGAAAAAACTTCTTGTTCTAAGAGCAGACAAGACTTTAAGAACAATGTTGGCTCAAAGAAAGTCCTTCTTAACTAATGGGCAGCAGCTTGGAATAAAAAGAGTTCAAGGAGGGTGCTCCGAACAATAAAGCCAAGGATGATACTTAAGAAGTAGAATATCTTTTCTTCCATTTTCTTTTCACTCTCCCTGTATCAAACCAGACAGGGAACACAGCCTTTCCCTTGATTCCCCCAAGACCCACAGAAATGGAAAGGAATTAAATAATAACACCATGAAGTAACAACTTAAAATTAAATGTTAAACATTCCTGGACTTTTTCATTTCTCTCGGTCACTACCACTAATGGGAATTTCTCACTGGCCAACATGTCTCCTCAGATTTCCAGAAAGCCCATCTCATTCTCACACT